ATAGTCGTATACTCGCCTGCCGCTTTGAAGTGCTGGACGTCCTTTTAGAATCGGAAATGCCTACCTCTTGGATCTTGGGTTTTGCTAAATTTAGGCTTCGCCATCTTAAAATTGCTTCGCACATTCCTAGTACAGGACTGCCCAGACTGTTATCATAACACACTGTGAAAAAAGATTCGAAATGCCATCTGGAAGATAGAAAAACAAAAAATATATTGTCACAGAATTTTCAATTGTACTTGAAAAAGGGCATAGTGGTGGTCGAAACCTCGTATAATAAACATAAATTTAAATGTAGCCCTTTTTATATTGTCATTATGCTGAATCTACCCTTAAATATTCATGCAACTCTCTGACGTGCTGTGTGCATTAACAAACTCGGTGTTATGCTAGCTTCCGCGGCTTTTTCATACCGGAGCTTGTATAATTCCTTCCCATCTGCATATTGAGATGGCAATGATAGATGTTTCTGTAGTTTATATTAAAAGTCGGCGACACGATATGCGTGTACTGAAGCCTGAATATCTGAGTATTGTGGCTGGAATAAGGAGGTAAAAGTCACTTTGTTAATCCGGTTTTTGAACTAAGGTTAGTAGAAATAGGAAAAGCCTCATCTACCTGGTTTTGGATTTATCGGATCAATCGCAAAGTAAAATAATGAACAAACATTTTTTGTTTTGGTAAATCGAATTTATTTTATTCGAAATAGTCTCTTTCAGAGTTGAGCTCGCTTGGTGCTTCCATTCGGCACTTTGAAGCTTGGTTTCAGGATAGTATTGAAAACACCTCCTTTCGTCACCAGCCACAATATTGTATAGAAAGTATTTACCTTTTAGGCCCCTTTAATGATGTTGAATTCGAAGCAATTTTTGGTCATCTGTGAGCTTGTGCGAAATACGTGAACACACCTTTCTCATGCCCAAATTCTTGGTGAAAAGGATTGAATCTTGAGAGATATTTAATTCCATTTCTACATATCTCAATGAAGATTTTGAATCATTTTTGATAAATTCACGTACTTTTTCGACGGTTTCTGGCGCAATCACAAGTTTTGGCTGGCCAACATGTTCGTCGTCTTCCAGCGACTCATGGCTCTCTTTGAACCATGTAAACCACTTCAGACTCGGTTACGAGATAACAGTCATCACCATATACTTGCATCAACATCTGATGCGTTTTGGTACATTTTTCGACAGATGCTAGAAAGGTACTGTCATTTTGAGCGCGATAACTCCGCGTGAAGTGGTTCGATTGTCACGAAATTTTGACATGGCATCAATGAAAGATGTACCTATCCACCGCTACCGCGCTACTTGTATCGGATATCTTTCAAAAGTCCTGTTTACTTAGCGAAAGACCTTGTACGAAGTTCCACAAGGTCATATCCGTAGAAGAGAGAAAGGTCGCCGACGATCCGCTGATGCGAAGCGGTCAGGTCTTATTTAGGGCTTGTACAGAGTAAGGAATTTATTTGAAGAAAAAAATCTCTTAGCCCCAGAGAATTAGCCTAGCTTTTTCCCAGCAGGTGTCGGGATTGCCGAGATGTGTCGGCCCCAGATCAAGTCCTCGGTGATCTGGACTCCGACCATCCAAAATCAACGGCTCTTTGGTAGAACTCTGCCATCTATTGAAACCGGATGAGCGCTAGAGCGCTTCTTTATAGTCAAGGTACAGTACTGTCTTTTGGAAGCATCAAACTCTACCAGATTTTTGCATCTCCAAGCAGTGATAACTTCCAGATCTCTCGTCAGAGAGGATGTCGCTGCTAATCTTGTATTGTGCTGTTATCAGCAAAGCTGAAGATCGTATTGATCGTAAAAGAAATGAGGTCGTTTATGTTCACAAGAAATCAACATCGAAAACAGAAGCACACATCCCATTAGGATAGTGCAGTGTCTTTTCTACCCTTAATGTCCTGCCTATACTTTAAAGCCATACTGCAGCCTGCGTAGTTCGGTGCATCATTCCAATATGAATAAATGCATGGTGCATGTCTCTTCTCTTTGTGAGTTTCCGACTTGCACGGTCATAACTTTTGCTGATATTCGTCCGTAAAAAACTTCATAAAGTATAAACCGTATTCGATGTTGATCTTTTGCCAAAAGGCAGCTCCTCTAATTATTATATGGAGAGATTTTCGGATAGTTTTTATTTTATTCTGCTATTCATCTGCGTCAGATGCGGAGTAAGAAAAGATAGGCATTATTGTAATTTATTATCAATACATATCAGGAGGTCTTAGGCTCGATTCCAAGTGGTTTGTATAGTATCTACTCTTGGGATATCCGTTTCTTACAAACAGCACCACAACCCTGAATGGTTTTTGAATAATTTCATAATTTGCCTCTATCTGGTGGGATCTTCGATCACTGAAGGGTGGGTTAAAGTTTAAGTTCATTTTTGTTTTTTTACTTTCTTTTATCAGCTGGTGCTTCCTCCCAGGTCAACTTTACCAACCGATCGTTGTTCAGTCTTTGACGATGTGCTTTGATTTCTTGGACAATGTTACTATCCAAATAACTGCCTGATTTCGATGTTCGTCCTTATGCAATATTCACGTATATCTGGTTAGAGGCTCAAAAATCTTACGTATTACCTTGCCTAAGCCGTTCTTTATTGACTTTCGACATTTTCCACGTTTCACAGCCATACATTGCAATCGGCTTTATGACGGCTGTATAAACCCTGATTTTAGAGAAGTGCAATATCCGTTCTGGGCATTGGAAAATAGGTATATGAATCTAGAGTCCCGCTGTACAAGAAATGCATCTTTTGATCACTCCGTATATTTGATTCCGCGAACTCTTTCAGAAAATTTAAAAATATACTAACCGTATTCCCTGTGAGCCAATAGTAGTAATTTGTATTACGTTCCGTCTTGGTGTGTTAGCCTTTTGATTCTGTATAGTCAACCCTCTGGATGCGTGGCCTTTCCTGTCCAATTTTGATCTACCCACCTAAATATTCCGAAAAAAATTTCAAATGTAGGTTGTAGGGTTTTGAGGTGCAAAATAATGATGATCCTGATCCTGATCTTGACCGTGACCTTCAAGGTCAAGCGAATATTTTCAAATGGAACTACTCTTTACCCGGAAATCGGAAAAAAGAGGAAATTTTACGCCCGAATATTACCTTGACCTTCAAGGCCATTTTAAGGTCAAATCAAGGCATCGACAACACTTTGCTCTAGCAAAAATGTTCGACAGCAAAGTTGTGAGCTTAGTGGGGGTGTCACCCAAAGTTGACCTTGGCCATGACCTTTACCGTCACCTTCAAAGTCATGTCAACATTTTACACGTTAAAATATAATATTTCGCTCTCTCCAATTTTGGAATAAAAATCAAGGCGTTGCCTTATAAATAACATCTAAGATAGAAATTTCCTTGACGATGAGGTTTGTATCAAGTCTAAAAAGGTGGGTCCAGACATGCAACAAAACACCGTATCGTAACAGCACTGCGTAACAAGTGTAGACGTTGGAGCGTATCAACGTAACCCCGCAACATAGTAACATCGAGGCGTCCCACGAGATGTCGGTATTTTGGTGTCGCATCAAAGGAACGATACGCGCTGATGTTGCACCACTGGATTGCAGGTTTGGACTGGTCTGTGTAACAAAGGTGCGATCTACTTTGTTTCTGTGTTTTGAGTAATACTGACAGGTTTATTATGGAGTGGACTGAAGAAGTAACGATTAAATTCATTAACAGTTATAGAAGCAAAGAAATTCTGTGGGATCCACAAAATTCCCAGTATTATAATAAAATAAAGAAAAACGATTCTTGGAATGAGCTCGCTGTAGAATTTAAAACCACGATAGATGAATGCGAAAAGAAAATGAATGTGTTATTGTCGGCACTTAGGCGAGAAAAAGCAAAAATTAAAAAAAGCAAAGGCACAGGAACAGGTAAATGTGAATAATTACATTATATTTTTTATTTATGTATTTTATTTACTTATTAACATATCGAACATATTATATTCATTGCAGGTCGTTCTGATGTGTATGAAAGTAGTTGGTTTGCTTTCAAAAGCTTGCTGTTTCTTTGGGACAAAAATAAAGTTCGACAGACAAAAAGTACCGTAAGTATTGTGTTACGCATAATTATCTTGATACACAAGTGGATCTTCATTTTGAAAGTATAGTGCCAATTCGTCTCTGATTATTTTCGCGTTATCAGTTGGTTTTCGGGGAATATTTTTAAGTGGCAATAGAGAAGACATTGTTTCATTTGTTGCTCTTGGTAAAGGTGATTTGGTATCGAACATGTCATGTGGCATATACAAAGTAGAAGATGTAGAGCTTTTTCTCAAGAAGTTATGTAGATGAGCTATTGCCATTACAATTATTTCAGCTTTTGCGGGTTCAAGTAACATGGGTTTACGGAGTACTCGAAAAACGGCCGAAGCAATACCAAACACATTTTCTACAGTTCTTCGAGCACGAGATAATCTATAGTTGAATATTCTTTGTATGGATCCTTTGAGATGCGTTCCCGAAAACGGTTTCATTAGCGAATCAGTGAATGCAAATGCCTCGTCTCCGATGAAAAAATAAGGAATTTTCCGTTGCATGCCTTTTAAAGTTTCTGGTTCAGGAAAATTCAACTGATTTTTCACTAGTTTTTTGTAAAGTGAACAATCTTTAAAGATGCCACCATCTGAAATTCGCCCTTGGCCACCAGCATTGACGTACAAAAAATTATAATTAGCATCCACTAAGGCGAAAAGAACAACGCTGAACGTAGATTTGTGTTGCATGGTGCTTGAATAACCACATGCTTTCCATCTAAAGCTCCAAGGCAATGCGGAAAATTCTAGGTTTTTTCAAATTGCTTTGCCACGTCCAGCCATGATTCTGGTGTTGTCGGTATCTGCAACAATTAGAACAAATTGTGTCATGAGAAATTACGCGATATGCCCACAAATAACTGATATCTTTATTTTCTATCGCAATGTGAATATTCTTGTAAATGACTAGGACTACTATTTAATTACAGATTGAAGACGAAGAAACAGATGATAATGAGGTATCTGATGGTGAATAAACATTGACAGATAACGACGTTGTGAAGGAGACTCAGGAGGTTATACGTTACATAATAGACCGAAAAGCAAATTGACGGATGTAACACCAATTAGAAAACAGCAAAGAAAAAGTGAAGATTCCTATAAATTAGATAGAGCTTTTCAGATACTGTCAAAAGCATCAGCAAACGCCAATAACCCAGAAGGACACAACGAATGTCAGATATTTGGAAATCTTGTGGCTAAAAAATTGGCTAAATATTCGCCTGAATTGCCGACCAATACACAACAAGCGATTATGAATATTTTATTTAAAGCAGACAGCATCCATATTCGCCAAAATTCAAGCAATTTCCAATCCCCACCACAACGTACTGACACTATTCACTCATTTTTTTCGAATTATCAGGCTAACCAAGAATCCTGTTTTAATCAAGAGCCATCACAGTTGTCATCTCCAACATATAGTTATGGTAATTCAAATCCCTCGACCTCGACTGACAATAATACTCCTCTCCCTCCTTCTTTGCCACACGAGTTATTGGATATGTCCCACATTGAACTACAGAGCTTGTAGTTAGTGCAAATGTTTAATGTGAGCAACAGTTTATTTAATGTAAGCAATATTTTGTTTAAAATATAGAGTTATTGTGTCAAACCTTTATTTTTTTACCTGTATATTGTCATGTAATCCTTCTATTATTGCTTCACACACTTCAGGAACTATAGTGCTTATAGATTGCTTAGATATTTTAAAGAGGTACTGAAGACTTGTGAAGGAATCACCAGTCGCCAAAAATCGAAACGTAACTGCAAATCTGTCTTGTACAGAAATTGCCTTTCTCCAGCTGGTATCTTTTCGTAATATTTTGGGTCCAATCAAATTAATCAAATATTCAAAGTCTGTTGCGGACATTCTGGTGAAATTTTTGTAGAGGCCGCTCATTTTCAAGTCTATGAGCAAATTACTTCCACTGTACACATTTTTTTTTACGAACAACTGCCTCTGCCAAAAACGTTTTTCTCTTCGCTTTTTTTGATTCTTCTTAACATAATAATGCATGAATATATAGGCAGCAGCGGCGACTTCCATTATAAACGCACTAGGAAAAACGGAACGACAGAATGTTCTGCTTTGAAGATACGCGATGGTATGAAAAAAAGTACACACCGTGACTTAGACGCGTAACACATAGTTGTTGCGGGACGGTGTTATTACACGACGTTTTGTTGCATGTCTGAACCCACCTTAAACTGGTTGTTTTCTAAAAATTTACATTATTGGGTTTCCAGTAGCTGATTATGAGTCTTGTGGTAGAATCGCATAGCTTGTACAAGTTTTTTTATATCGAAGCAGCCGCGCAGGCAGAAGCCTAAATGCCGGAACACCGCGGCTGCTATCATGATCCTAAAGAAATTTTGTTAATACGATGTTTGAACTGCCTAATGTTAGTACAACTGAGAAAAGCTTCCTCTTGTAGATTGTTCCACAGTCTCGACACTCTCGGGACAAAGGAACGGTCGTATCGCCCAGTTCTGGATGTACGAAGCTCGACACAGTTAGGATGGGATGCCAAAGCTAGGCGGGTCTGTCTGGCAGGCTCATCGCGCGGCGGAATCATGGAAGAGAGCTGCGAGGAGCAAAGCCCGTTGGTTTAGCAGTAGGAAAGAACTAGATCGCCGAAGGCCCGTCGTGCGAAAGAGTTCCGAGACTGTCTGTTAGAGAAGAGCCATCGATCAGTCGGACCGCCCTCCTCTGGACAGCATCGAGCATGGATAATGTAGTCGGGGCGGCAGCACCCCAAACGTGTGGCAATACTCGAGGCTAGGCCTTACCTGGGCCTTGTATAGAGTGAGAAGGTCATGCGGAGAAAAGTACTTCTTAGCACTAAACAAATAGCCTAGCTTTTTCTCAGCAGCTGCAGCTATTGATGAGATGTGTTCGTGCCAGATCAGATCCTCGGTGATCTGGACTCCGACCGGCCGAAATGAATGGCTCTTTGACAGAACTCGGCCATCCATCGAAACCGGATAAGCGCTAGGACGCTTTTTGTTGATCAAAGTACAGTACTGTGTTTTGGAAGCATTGCACTTGTCAAGATTGTTGCATCCCCAAGCAGAGATAGCCTCCAGGTCTCTTGTCAGAGAGGATGTCGCTAGCCTTCTTTTTCCAGCTCAGCGGCAGAGATCGGCTTGTCACTCTAAATTCCTGCATGTAGAGTGCTGTCATCAGCGAAGCTGAGGATTGGGTTGATCGTACAGGAAAGGAGGTCGTTGAGATGCAAGACAAACAGTGTCGGAGCCAAGACCGATCCCTGCGGAACACCCGCGTTGACGTTGCGGGATGAAGAGGAGAACCCGTCAATTACGACGGATACCTTGCGGCCAGAGATAAAGTCAGCCACCCATCTGCAAAGCTTTTTTGGGAGGCCATAGTATGGAAATTAGCTTAAGAGGGCAGCGTGCCACAGCTGATCGAACGCTTTCGTGATGTCAAGAGCAACGACATGGGCCTCACGATAAGACTGGATGAGTTTACTTCACAATTGCCTGACGTAAGCTAGGAGGTCTCCTGTGGATCGTTGGTGCCGGAAACCATACTGCCTGTCGCTAATCAAGCTGTGACGTTCGAGGTAGTCCAGAAGCTCGCGATTAATGCGCCTCTCCATTACCTTACTTATAACAGAAGATATCATAAGATATCTGGAAGAGACGCGAAAGAACTGGAGCAAGCTCCGCTGCACACCTCTTCAAAACAATAGCAGGAATCAAGTCCGGATCAAAAGCTTTGTTGATATCGAGCGACAAGAGCACTCGTCTTACGGTCTTATGCCTGAATGTTACCTCTCGCATAGTGTAGGGAATCCTTTGAATTGACGGCACTTGGGCGTTGGTGGAGTTGGCAGAAAAGATCTTGGCTAGCACTTCCGCCTTGGTCTTTGAGTCGAATACAATCGTTCCATCCTGAGACGTAAGTGGTGGGAGGCTACTGTGTGAGAAGTTCTTGTCACTCTGCTTGGCCAGCGTCCAGAAAGACCGACTGCCATTGCGTTGCGACATTACCCTTTGCCCAAAATTTTATATCGTGCTGGTTTTTGGCATTGCGAACCGCTTCGTTATATTTGTTTCTGGAAAAAAGTAGGGCTCGTCACCAGCTGGGACAGCCCTTGAGTAAGAGCGAATGCTTCGACTGCACGACCTGCTGCATCGGTCTTGTTTGAGCTCAACCAAAGCTCATTATGGGCATTGAAATCACCGAGAAGAACTACACCTCTGAAGCGGAGTGATTGATGTGCAGGAAGTCGATCTTGACGGCGAGGTATTCCAGTAGGTCATCCTAGTTATGGTCCGAGGGAGAGCGATAAAGGCATCAAATAAATTTGGGTGATGTTTTGGAGTTGAGGCGAAGCCACAGAATGTCTTTCCGGTTTGATTCCAAAGAAACATCTCTGGAGCAGGAAAGTCTGCTGCGGACAAAAGCCATAACTACCCCGTTCTTTCTCAGATTGGAGTGCACCTCGTAGTTTGGGAAGTTAAGATGGTTAATCGGTGCAGACTCTGAGATTTTTGTCTCCGCCAAGAAAAGCATGGCGTGACGATCGGGTTTCAGGTAGTGATGAACAGCATCAATGTTGCTGCTAATCCCGCAGTTTCACAATAAAACGCTAGAGTCGTAACACTAGTATTCGAAAAGTATCGACAGACCGTATTATCAAAATGGCAGAAGAATTAGACACCCTGTAAAAATATTCACCAATCAGTTCAATGGCGCTTAAAGACCTCCTATCCTGTAACTATCTTCTCCCTCTATTCTTTCTCCTTTTCTCGTTCTCTTCCTTCCTTTCATTTTCCCTTTTTATACTTCAACAGCTAAAATTCCACCAACCTCCCTAACAATAACTTGCAGCTAGCATTCGCCCTGAGGTGTATAAATAGCAATCTCAGCTAGTTAGCATTCATCGTTAGCGTTTCCGCACTCACCATATTAATTTTTCATCCGAATCTGCTCAACGTCAATCTTTATTCATGGACGTCTCTTTCCCTCTTTTTCCCTGGGGAGCCACTGGTGTCGTATTTAAGCGCTGATGGTCGTTTCAGAACTCGTCGCCCCCCTCCCCGGCATAAATTGGTTGTGCTTTATTTATGCGATATAGTACGGTCAAGCTATACAGAACAGGAGTGTATTATTATTTTATTATACAGGGTGTTCCAGAAGTCATCGATCAAACTAAAGGGGGCTAAATATGTTATATATAATATCGACATTTTTAAACATTTCTGGCAAAATTACTACTTTTGAGACTGTACTATTTTTTTTCTGGAGTGATCTTTTGTGATTTTACAGGATGTTTTCTCAAATGTATAGTTTAAAAAACACTAACAGTGAAAAACAAGTCCAGTTTATGTTGGCATAGCAATAGACTGAAGTGTAATTGTATCTGGTGTCAAAAATATTACCGCATTGTCGAGTAGAGACTTTAGTCGCCAGATCAACTTAGGTAAAACATCCGAATATTATGGCCTTCCAAAATACAGTTTAAGTAATTTAGTATCTCAAATAGTTTCTGCCCAAGATAAACAAAATGCTGCATTTCCATTTTATGAACTTATCCTACAACTGCCATTGTCAATACCTAGGGAGTCATAAAACAGCAATAAATCTTCACATCCAAATTTTAATCAACATAAGGAATAGCGGCTTTTGTTTTTGGTGATAACACGTTTATGGAAGCTGTGAAGTATTACCTAACCCGATAACAGCATTTTGTAACACAAATAGGATAACAACACGTTTATAGGATAAAATGTTTGCAGAGACAATGCCGTACTTATTCCATTTGCGTGATTGTTTTATTGCGATTTTGGTGCTAGATGTATCCGTCACAGTATCGAAATTGATATCCAATAGAGCAAATTTTCCATACTATCGTATAGAGAAATGGCTGGGAGATAAGAAGAAGTAGGAAGGCGGAGAATCGACGTAGAAGACAGGGTCCTAGCTTAGACCATTGAATAATAGCGAGAGATAGTCGTGAAGAAACTATCATAATAAAGATTTTTTAATAGTTAAGTTTTTAGTTTGTGTCGAAATTGGATAAGAAATGAACAGGCTTAGAATCATGGAACCACAGAAGAGCAAGTTGGTTGTTTAAAATGGAATATGGTCTTAACCATTCTTAAATTTTGAGGTCATGATTAAGGTCAAACCCAGCTACAGTAACTTGAAAAACTGTATGTTTATAGGGAAACTACACTGACATTAGTTTCATGATTTTTTCCCGGATATTCCATGGTGATCTTGGAACTGACCTTAACCACGATGACCTTCGAGGTCACGCGAAGCTCAAGTCGATTTTTGTAGACAGGGAACGATTCTGAAAGAACAGTGAAGTCAGTTTATCCGGGACTACATAGTTTTCTGAATTATCAAGGAAACGTAATCTTGTGTTTGACCTTGTTGGGGAGTCTTACATGGATTCTGTTACAGCATTCAAAGTAGACAGACGTTTGTTCGTTGAGTCGTCCGGCCACTACAAAAGATTTTTCCTGAAAATGATCAGGATCCGCTGAAACGTC